AACTCACTAAGTAGACAGGCTGGTCTCAACCTCACAGAGATCTGCAGCCCCTGCCTTCTAAGTTCTGGGCTTAAAGGTGTGCTCCTGTATGCCCACTACAACTTTCTTATCTCTTCCTTTGAAACACTGTCTCACTGTATAGTTGAGGCACAGGCATGAAACTTCCCATTCTCCTGCCTCAGCTTCAGTGTGTGTGAGCTATCAGATCTCGTCGGGTTTTTCCTTTAACGTGTCTGATTTTGGGTGACCTTCGGGGACCTTGCTTGATTTCTGGAGTTGTCACCACCTTGCTTAAAGTGTCTGTGGTCCCTTTCCTCTTTCGCCCCTTGAGACTCGGAGAACCTGAATTGGTGTCTGCATCCTCATGTGCCTGCCCAGAGGGAGGCAGGCTGAGCTTGTGTGTGTGCAGAGGAAGGAAGCCACAGATTTGCCATCATCTGTCACCAGCTGCCCTGCAGACTCGTCCCGCGTCTCGCGGTGCCTTATGACCAGCAGCACACAGTAGGTGCTTAATAAATGTTCGCTAACATTGCTCCGGGTCACATGGAGATTTTCCCATGTTCTTCCAGATGCCTAAGAGAGATCATTCCGTCATGCCAGGGAAGATGCCCCTTCAGCTCTTGCAGGCTCCTGTGCTGGGAAAGAGCCGGGTTGGCAACACATTCAAACAAAACAGTGCCCTGTGTGGGGCGCCTCACAGGCTTTTGCTGTTCACCACCCTGTTAGCATTAGCAGCGATTAAAACAGTTAGGGATCAGTACAAAGCTGGCTTTGAGGTAGGCTCCACGAGGCTCGCCCTAAGCCCAGGTCTCTAGCGCTGTTAGAAGCCCACTTTTCCTCGACATTTCTCAGTCTGTGTATCTTGACTGTCTGGGTATCACATAAGTTGAAGGAGCCTCTTAGGAAGTGGTTTGATGTCCTCAAAGCTGTGTGGACCCGTTTACCCATTTGTTTGTTTGTTTGTTTGTTTTTTTCTGTCTCTGTCCCAAGCTCAATGGGGTAGGTGAGATGCAAGACTTAAGAGAGGGAAGGAGGTCTTCGGGGTCTTTCCTGGGTGCTGTTGCCTGGCTAGCTAGAGCCCTTTGACCTTTGTGATTCTGAAGGGTGAAAGGTGTAGTGCAGAGGGCAGAGTGCAGAGGGCAGAGGGCAGAGGCTGGGGAAAAGCCCCAATGGGAGAAAAACCATGGAAGCTCAGTGTGAGGGCCTGGCCCCTGAGAGCAGCCTGGGAACCTTCAGGACACTTTAGTAATCTTATTTGATTGATAGATAAAAGCAGGAGAGAACCAGTTTTGGTAGCTTGCGTTTCCAGGGTTAGTCAGCAGCGGATTGTAACTATCGACCTGTTGGTTGCTCCTGGTCCTGACCCCAGATCCAAGGGCTCACGATGAAATGGGGCCTAAGTCATGGCTCCCCACACCCTCGGTGCCCTGTGGGATCAGTGACTCACCCCAAATGTCACGCTGCCTGTGTGCTGGATTCGCAGTGGGTGCCATGCTGGACCATTTCCAGCAGCAGAGCTCCTGGGCAGAGGTTGAGGAGGGCAACCAAATCAGAAGGGAGGTTCTAGAAGAGCAGAGCACGGAGCAATGCTCACTGGCTTTGGTGAGGACTGAGCAGAGACACTCACGGTGGGGCACTTGGCACACCCCAAAAGGCAGACAGGGGAGCCATCTTGCCATGTGGCTTTGGCCACAGCTGTTGTGAGTTTTGGGCAGTTCCCACATGGTGATGACAGGCCTGTGGCTCGGGACAGAGGAACCTGCCTTGGAATTCCCAGTATGCCTTGCTTTGGTTGACGTCTTCCCCTGGTTTCGATCTGAACCCCTATCTAGATTTGGGTTGAGTCAGGGTCTCGTGTAACTCAAACTGGCTTAAAACTCAATGTGTAGCCAAGGATGACCTTGAACTCCTAATTTGTTCAGAACTGGGGGTTAACTTGGGGCTTTGGACACGCAAGGCAAGCACTCTATGACGGTGCCATAGTCCTAGCCGCTGTGTCAAAAGTCACCTCTTCACCTTTCTTTTCAGCTTGAAGACCTGCTGTCACAAGCCTCCTTCAGCCGGGGCTGGAAGTAGGGCATGCAGTGGGTGCTTCTACCAGGAGCTATGCCAGTCCCTATGGCTCACAAGCAATCACAGCAGCCCCAGGACGGGGCCTTGGGGTCAGCTAAGGTGTGCAGGGTACGGCAGGTCCACAGGAGCCCTTGCCCTCTGTGTCGAGTGCTTAGAGGTAGGAAGGAGGACCCGTGTCGTTGGCCTCCTGGAGTAAGGAGCAGAGGACAGGATGACCCACTTAGAAGCCAGCTCCTTTCAAAGCCGTGTGCCTGTGACGAGGGCTGCTTTAAGTGGGTTAGCTTAAACTCTTCAAAACCCAGCTGTTAAACGCTGGCATTCTGTTTTCATTAGCTTGTAAGCCAGGGCAATGGGGACCTGCCTGGTTTTCTGAAGCAGCAAGTGTGCCCAGAGGCTAATAAACAGCAGGTGTCTCCAATGAAAGGCTCTTAATACTCCCTATAAATGCTGAGTGTGGACGTGAGAAAGAAAGGACGAATGTGGATTCTAGTGCTGGGTGCCACTTCTCAGAGCCCGCAGCCGAGGGCTGCAGTGTGCATAGGCTATGTGTGGATTTGTCCTGTGTGTCGCAGGAAGTGAGTATGTGCACACGAGTGCACGTATGTGTGAAGAGAAGGCTCCACCATTGGACAGGACAAAACAAAGCGATGGTAGCAAAAAAACAGGCACATCATTTTCAGGGCCTGGTGCAGAATGAAAGCAGGCATGGGGAGCTCGGGATGGCATGGTGGGAACAGGGAACCAAGCTCAAGTTAGAGCGAAGTTCACGGAGAGCTTCCTTCTCCCTCCCACCTTCCTTCACAGGCTGGCAGGCTGCAGGCAGTCTTGTGGAGCCCAGCTTGCTCTGGCCTTTCCTGTGCCTCCTCTTCAAGGCCAGGCCCCACTGAGAACACCACCATCCCTAAGGTGTCACTTGTCCTTGGCTCCTTCTTCAAGACACCTCTTTCTCCCTCCTCTTGCCGTTCTCGTCTTGCTTGCACGCTGTGAAGGCTCGGACCTCTCTCTTGGCCTCTGCCACTTTCCTCAGGTGTTACTGTGTGTCTGAGGCCAACCTGGGCTGTAGAGTAAGTTCAGGACATCCTGGGCTACAGAGTCTGTCTCAAAAAGAAAACAAATAAGTAAGCATAAAAATGAAAACAGGATTGAGTGTCTCCGTGTCTCCACTTTCCGCCGAAGCCTTCAGGGGGCCTGAGCAACTCTGCTTTGGGCTCCTGCCAAAATGGTGGTGACTCCTGTTTTGGAGAGAAATGGCCAAGAAAAGCCAGGAGCTGGGGCAGAATCTCCACGAGGGGGTGGAGGGTGGAGGCTCCCTGTGCCCTTCCTGTTTATTGTCCTGGGCTGTCTCTTCTTGGGTCAAGTTCAGTGTGACTACTTCAAAGTATACTCACAGACAATAATGAGGCCACTCCGCCCTAGCCCCAATACCTATCTATACTGGTCAATAATTACTCGTGATGTCCTGGGTTCTGGGAGGAGGCAGTGGCTCTCACCTTCGCTGGTGAGTTTACGTCCTCCCACACCTTCAGCATCAGTCATCAGTCTTCAGGGTGTTTCAGGGGTAGGTGTCTAACAAGCAATGAGGGCCTGAGAACTCACCTCCATTGTGTCCCCATGCATAGCCAGAAATGGGCCCTGCAGTCAGCAAGCAGTCACAGAAACCACGTGACTCCGGGCAAAGGAACTGGCCTGTGCATGGAAGCCCTGTGCTACAAGCCCTGTGCCACGACTATCCAAGCACAGAGACTAGGGGAGCATTTGGGGGTCTGGGAGTAGCATGAATGTGGGACTGGAGACTGCTATGAATTCATGCAGGGATAAATCAGTTTTAAGGGGCAGGGTGATCCAAAATTGGCAAATTGGCATTTGCTAATTGGATGCAGTGTCAATACTCCACCTCGTCCAATTTCAATCTATGAATCCACTTAGCAAATAACTCAGAAATTTCCTGAACCTTGCCTCACTATCTGTCATGGCCACTGCCCTGGCATCAAAAGCATAAGCCCTCAGGACTTCAGGGCAGCCTCCTACCATCCCCTCCATCCCTGTCGTCATTTGTGCCATGCTGCTACAGGGCTGGACTAGGACATCTGGCTCCCACATTGAGATATATGGCCAGAGAATTCTGCCTCAGCCATCTTACAGCTTCCACCCTTCCCCACCCCCTCCCCGAAGCCGCATCCTCACTCGTGGCTGCTTCCAGGGGACCTGGTGTGCAAGGTGATGGGTCCTGGGGAGCCAGGGAGCCACGGGCTCACGGGACCACACTCATCCCTAGGGCTACAATTTCATCCAAACATATCTCTTTGCAGAAGGGACTTCCTGGTCCTGTGGGTGGCCAGGCCCTGACTCTGGACACCAATTGTTGATTGCACAATTGTCTTGGAGACCCACCTTCTGCTGATACCTTCTCGGCATCAATTCCACTCCCTTGGGATCCTGGCATGCCACTTTGGCCCCACCTCAGTCAGGCAGCTGTGGTGAGAGATGTTGACCAAATGCATCTCTGTTGGCTCACCAGGTCAGGCGGAAGCTGCTGAGGGGTTCGAAGAGTGGTGGGACCTTGGGGCTATACGGAAGCAGGACAGAGGCCTCAGCTAGGTGTTGAGTGATGGACAGAGGAGAGGCAGGGGTAAGGCTCCCAGCCAGCCACACCAGCACAGGTGTCCCACTGACCTGTCCTGACCTCCCTTCTTTAATCTCTCCCACTCTGTGACAGCACATAGCTAGGCCTGGGGCCCTCCAGAGGCCACCCCGAGTCCCAGGATAAGTTTCTGGAGGAGTGAGAGACAGTCATGAATGCCAAGTTCATGTGACCCAGCTGGTTCACTGCAGGAGGACTTGTGGACAAACATAAGAGAGTACAGAACATGTGTTCAGCCAGACGTATGCCCTCGTGCTGGGACAGGGTAGAGAACTCTTTGGAAAAGATGGCGTCCGAACAAGGGCCAGAACACTGGGACCCTTCCACACTCCCTATCTCAGGTACAGGCCAGCTGGAGCCCTTGCAACCACAGATCTGCTCTGTGGTTATCAGGGACACAGTCAGGACTGTCTCTGATCCCAGCAGAACAGGCCTAAGGTGTCACCATGACAACCTCCTGGCCAGTGCATCCTAGGCCCTCTCCACTGAGCACAAACTATTGAGATTCTAGGCCGCTTTTCAAATGAGGCATGTGTGAGAGACAGGTTGGAGCACTGGAGGTGGAAAAAAGGGGCTCTTGGAAGGCCTTCTAGAAGGCAGGAAGGCCAGGGAGGGAGGATGCAGTATTCAGGGGCCGGGCATGGGGCCCACCCAGCACTAGAGTGTATCACTCAGAGAAGCAACACCTGGCCAGGATTGTGAGGATGCACTTCTGCGATCCCAGCACCCAGGAGGCAGAGGCAGAGTAGCCAGGAGTTCAAAGATACCTAGGGCTACACAGGAAGACCCTGTCTCAAAAAAGCAAAATAGATAAGATGATGGACACAGAGATAGGTAGATAGCTATGTGATTGATAGATCGTAGAGATGGACAGGTAAACAGATAAATAGACATATATAAATAGGTAGATATATGACAGATAGATGTTAGAGACAGACAGGTAGATACAGATAGGTGGATACATAATAGATGATAGATAGCTATGTGTTGGACACATGACAGAGACAGACGGGTAGCTAGAGATAGAGGTGGGTAGGTAGAAAGGTAGATGACAGATGGGTGATAGAGACAGACGATGGATTTTTGTGTTTTCTTGACTCTGGGACCCCCTCTGTTCGTCTCTCCAGGGAATCTTCCAGGAGCCACACTTAATCTAGAATATATGAGTCATCAGTGCACACAGTGAGAGATCAACAGATGCAAGTTCCTTCTCTTGGCCAAAGGAGTCCCCAATTCTGAAGCAGGTGGAGACCTGTTTCCAATCTCCTCTTCCCTGGCTAATGATACATATATGAATGTCATCACATCTGTGTCCTCATCTGGGTTATTCTGGGACATAGGCTGGGAAGGGTCCCAAGGCCCCATCCCCCAACTGAGGCAGCCTTTCTCATCAGGTGGGCTGGCTGCTGTCATGTGGATGGAGAACAGAGGGTGAGGCACCCATCCTGCTAGTCAGGCAAGATGCTGACAGGAGGGCGGGAGGAGAGGGCGGACTGAAAGGGCGGAGCTTCTAGAACAAAGGAGAACTAGGAGCCCTGGGGGCCCAGGCTGGGCATCAAAAAGGCTGTGCAGAGCAAGCAGAACACAGACAACCCACTTCTGTGCCCAGCAGCCAGCCAGACACCCTGTACCTGCTCTGTTCAATTTGCCCAGGCCAGGCAGGAACACGGCCCTGCCGACGGAGACCTCGCGCTCCAGCGTGATTGCACCCACACTGCTCTGTGCCGTTCTCTACTTGGCTTGCGTTACTGCTGAGCTTCCAGAGGTGAGCAGAAGGATGGCCACCAGCGGAGCCAGAAGCAAGGAAGGCCACCGGGAGCATGCCTTCATCCCAGAACCTTTCAATGGTGCTAACATCGATGCCAGCCTTTGGCTGCACCGCTTTGAAGTCATAGATGACCTCAACCATTGGGACCATGCCACCAAACTGAGGTTTCTGAAAGAGTCACTCAGGGGAGATGCCCTGGATGTCTACAATGGACTCAATCCCCAGGCCCAGGGCGACTACAGTCTCGTGAAGGAAGCCCTCCTAACGGCCTTTGTGGGCCTTGGGGCTGCCCACAGCCAGAAACCCAAAGAAATTGTGTTTGCCAACAGCATGGGTAAGGGCTACTACCTTAAAGGGAAGATTGGCCACGTGCCTGTGAAGTTCCTGGTGGACTCTGGAGCTCAGGTGTCTGTGGTCCACCCATCCTTGTGGGAGGAGGTCACCGATGGTGACCTGGACACTCTTAAGCCTTTTGACAGCGTGGTCAAAGTGGCCAACGGGGCAACGATGAAGATCTTGGGTGTGTGGAACACAGAATTGACCCTGGGCAAGATGAAGCTGAAGGCAGCATTTCTGGTGGCCAATGCAAGCGCAGAAGAGGCCATTATTGGCACAGACGTGCTGCAGGACCACAATGCCGTTCTGGACTTCGAGCACCGCACCTGCACCCTGAAGGGGAAGAAGTTCCGCCTGCTGCCGGTTGGGGGCTCCTTGGAGGATGAGTTTGACCTGGAGTTCATTGAGGAAGAGCCTTCTGCACCAGAGGGCTCCCACTAAGAAACCCCCGCTCCTGTCCCCAGCCATTGGTAGGGAGACCTTGTGTTGGGGGGAGCAGATGTCCTCAGGGGGTATCCTGGGGCCTGGCCAGTCTTTATACTTGTTCTCAGCCTCCCTCCTTTGCAGGAGCCTTACCTTGGCCCTGTTGGGGGAGGGAAGGCAGCTTGGTGGCCTAAAGCAGGGTCCCCAGGAGCTGCAAAGACTTTCAAGGCTGGCAGGAGTTCCCAAGGAGATTGGGAAAGTCTATCTTGAGAGAGGGCTGGGGGCCCTTTTAGATTCCCTGAGGTATGGCTCACTCAATTCCAGGTCCCCAAGCTTGCACAGCTGAGCCTGGTCCTGGCTGAGACTCTCACGATCCAGATTCTTGGAGGAGGGTGTCAGCCGCTCTGGGATTCCTCCCCTGGAGTCCTCCCACCCGCACGTGGTGCTTCTTCCCGTCACTTGCCTTGAATCCCATGGAGCCTGTGTCAATCATTCAATTATTTCAAAGCACCAATAAAGATCTGTTCATGGAAAGGAAAACATGTCATGTGCTCAGTATTCATGCCAGGGATGGAGAGGAGAGGGAAGACAGCAGTGTCTGAATGCTTGGGTTTTCTGAGGTGGACTCAGCGGCAGGTATTTTAACTTCTAATTCCTCTCACCCCTTCTGCTTCTAATTTCTTTATTCTAATCTACACTGTTTCAGGATAAAATTTGTCCCTTATGCTCAAAAGCGACCCAAGGCTATTTTGTGAGGTGTTTGGCTTGGGGATGAAGACGTTTCTGCCGAACAAATAGGTTCTTACTGGCACCCAGGGATGTAGACTTAGAGGTGGAAACAAGGCCGTGAGACAGGCACGGGCATGTGGGCAGCTCTGGAAAGGTCTGCAACTCTGGTATCGGGAGTGGAGGGTGGGGGTGGAGGGGTGTAGCCTGGCCCTGGTGGAGTGGCTTGTTTGTGGGAGAGCATGGGATGGAGGCGAGAGCATTCTTGAGCCTGGGATGGGTTTCTTCTCTTGTCCAGCTTGGGTTTTCTTCCAACTCCCTGCCTCCTCTGAAAATCTGAAAATTCCTCAGGCTTTAGGGAGTCGGGTTGAAATGCAGAGTGGATTGAAAGCTTCAGAGAGGAGCAAATGTATTCTGAATTATGGGGCCCATGACTTCCATGCTGAGCCCAGGAAACTGGCACAAGGCCAGAAGTTCAGATGTGCAAGGGGTCTGCCAGCTGTCGGGAACTGGGACAGAGTTTTGGGGAGCCTCTTCTTTACTTGGTGGATATTGGAAATTGAGATTAAGGCCTCACACAACACTAGGCAACTGCTCTACTACTGAGCTATATCCCCCATTTCCTTTTAAAATACTTATATTTCAATACATTGTCTCATTAAATTGCCTAAGCTGGCCTTGAACTCACGATGCAGCTCCTGTAGGCATTAAACCTGTGATCTTTCCTGCTCCTGAGTCTCCTGAGTGCCTGGGCTAAGCCTGCACCACATACCCAGCTAGTGTTTTCCTGCTGGGCCTCTTCCTCCAGGCCAAAGGAGCAGCCGTTGAATCCAGCTGTGAGGCCCTCTGCACAGGAGGCAGCAAGCTTGGCTGACCCCTCTTCTTGAGAAACCAGAGGACTTCTGAGCTCATCACAACAGCAAGGCCTTCTTCTTGGCTTCTCCTCCCTGGTACCAGCTGTGGCTTCCCTGGGCCCTGACTCAGGACCTAATTCCTATGGTTCACTAAAGCCTGGCTCTGGGCAGCCATGCCCAGAATTAACTGGAATTAGCCTCTGGGTGTGGGTGAAGGCTAGGTGTAGAAGGATCCCGGAAGACAGAGGGTGGTCTCCTGGAAGTCCAGACCCCGCCCCCTCATCTCTTTGGAGGCCTCAGGAGTGCTGCTGTTGTCCTGGGTTGAGCTCTCTCTCCAGGGAGCAAGGCCACGGCCACCTCCCCATGACCTAGTTTTCTCTAGGTCCTTCAGATCCTAGCGCTTCTAGGCTGAAGGAGGGCGGGGAGAGTGGGTGGAGGTGAGAAGAGAACCTAGGAGTTGAGTGGCCAGCCCAGCATTCTGGGACACTACTCAAAATGTCCCCGTCCTGTCCTCAGAAAGGGACTGCCTGAGCCCCGGGCTGGGTAAAATCCTGTGGGTGTCTCTGCAACAGTGTGAGTGTGGCTATTCTTTGGCTTTGGGTAAGGGGGGCCTGGGCTGGCAGCTCTCAACCAGGTGCCTTCCCCAAAGAGCTTTCGGGACAGCCATCATTAAGGAAGGAAGGAACCTCGTGTTGCTGGAGGCCTGAGCGACTAAGGCAGGTATTTTGTGGGTGTGAGAGTGAGTAGACATGATTGATGGCAGAGGCTGGGGCTATGGTGTGGAAGGTTGCCGGGCATAAGGAGGCCGGGGGTGTCATGAGAGCTGAGTGCGTACACCTCTAATCACAGCACTCAGAAACTGGGGCAGGAGACTCACTCATTCAAGGCCATCTTTGCTACAAAAGGTGGAGATCAACCTGGGCTACATGCAACATTGCCTCAAAAAAACTCCAACAAAACCAATTTGTTTTCATGAGCAGAATCACAGGGCTGCTGTCCAGGGATCAGGACCCAGGTGCCCAAAGCAGAGCCAAAGAGAGAAGCCGTCTGGACTCACCTGGCCCCTGAGTGCGATGGGAGGGGTGTTCGGATTAGGAAAAGTTTTTTGTTGTTGTTTTGAGACAGAGTTTCTCTGTGTGTAGCCCTGGCTGTCCTGGACTCGCTTTGTAGAGCAGGTTGGCCTCAGACTCACAGAGATCCACCTTCCTCTGCCTCCCAGACTGCTGGGACCACAGGTCTGCGCCACCACACCCAGCAAGGAAAAGCTTTCATCTTGGTGGCACACCAGAGTCTCACAGGAAGACTGACCACAGCTCACCTGTCTGGACCAAATCACAGTGGTGCTTTGTCTTGCCCACGTGGAAGCCGCAGCACGCAGGCACATCAGGCTTGCCTGGCATCTCGGCGAACACAGACTTCCTGCCCCCACCCACACCCAAGATGGAGCTGTGCTAGACTGACTCCCTTCATTGAGGAGCCGGTCCTCACCCCCCAAGCTCCACCGTCTCTGATCACAGCCCCACCCACCAGTCACCCCCAAACCCCGCTGAGTGTGCTAGATCATGCCGGATGCTTTTATCTAGCACATGGTTATTGTATTGTTTGAACTTTTGAGATAGTTTCAGGCTTACAGAAAGGTTGCAATGAAACAAAGAGTTTTACATAGTTACTCAAATGTTCATAGTTAGAATTAGCTTTATTACTCTGCCCCATGTAGAGGAACCATCTGAAAACTGCAGATAGGAAATACTAACTGATAACTGTTTGTTTTTATTTTTACTCTTTAGTTTTTGTTTTGTTTTGTTTTGTTTTGTTTTTTGAGACAGGGTTTCGCTGTGTAGCCTCGCCTGCCCTGGCCTCACTTTGGCCTCAGACTCACAAAGATCCGCCTGCCTCTGCCTCCCACAGTGCTTGGGAATACAGGTGTGAGCAGCTGCACCCAGCTGATAACTGTTTATTTTTAAGACTTTCTCCCACATAAGCACAACCCGTTACCAAAATCAGAAAAATCACACGTGTACATGCACACACACAGGTTTGGGGGGGGCACACACGTCTGTGGAGGCCAGAGCTCACTGTTGGGGTCTTTCTCCATGCTATTTAAACATTTCATACTGCATGACTACATTTTACTTTGTGTGTGTGATGTCTGTGGGTGCATGTGTGAAGCTCACAGGACCGCTCCTGCAGCCGGGTCTCTGCTTCCACCAAGTTCTCGCTCCGGGGCCTGAACTCAGGTCGTCAGGCTTGGTGGCCAACGTCTTCACCTGCCAAGCGGTCTCACCAGCTCCACCTTAGTGTGTGACATAGGGTCTCTTACTGAACGTAGAGTGCACTGGCTAGCCTATCTGCCCAGAAAGCCCACAACCTTCTAGTCCTCCGGCCCCCACAACCCCCCCACCCAATGTTGGGGTTACATGGATGCTTTATGCAGTCCTGGGGATCGAACCAAGGGCTTTTATATCTTGGCAAGCATTCTACCAACTGAGCCCCAACCCCAGCCCTCCTGCCACCTTTCATCTTGTGAACGAGAATTTCTGAAAAGAAGCCATGTCCACAAAGGCCAACTGACTGCTTAAAACGCCAGTGACTCCGGAGGTGGGAATATTGTAGGGATCAGAGCCTAATTACAATTTCTCTTGAGCTATGTTTTGCCTACTAAATAACCAATCCATGTCTCCCTCTGCCAGACCTAAAATCCTCTAACAGATAACAACCTTTTGGAATGAATCACCTGAACCCTAGCTTCCCACCAATCGAAGGGCTAAGAGTTCCGTCAGAGCCCACCTGAGGCCTGTAGCTGAGATTTCTTCGCTCTGCTGTAGTGGTCTGCTTACTGTTCCCTCCAGTGAGCGTGACTTCTCTTGATCTACGGTTGTCTTTGTTCTGAAACTATGAAATCTTCATGAAACTGCTTCTTCCTTGAAACACGGAGTTTGTGGTAACCTCAACCTGTGCTCTCAGTCATAGTCGCTCATAGTTAGCTCCAAAATGAACTCCCTCGTTTTCGTTCATGTAATAACTATATTTTTGCATTGATGATCTCATCACTTGCTCAGGCCATCTTTACTTTCAGGATTTGAAATGCGTGAGGGTGCCCGGGCTGCTTGTTCTGCAGAAGGGCTTTCGCCTTGGTGGATTCCACCATCTTCTCTTTATGACGAACACCCAGGGGAGATGGTGTGTCAGGCATCATGTCAGGGATGCAGGGTGTTCCTTAGTCCCATGGCTGCTGATCCTGGCTTGTTTGCTTGCTCAGGCTACTGTCAGCCAAGCTTCTCCACCCTTGGGTGACTGCTTTTCCCTGTAATGAGTCAGTGTCATGGAAAGACCACCCGAGGCTCTACAAATGTTTCTCTGTAGATACTGCAGTCACTGACAGTCCTGCAAGCTGAGCCGCTCTTCCTGTGAGGGCTTCCCAGCAGGGAATTTCCAGCT